GGTTGCGGGATGATTCCTCATCCAGCATGCACAGTCCGCAGTCCGGGCACATGAGGGAGAAGGCTGATCAATGTTTCTCTCTCTCTCTTCCTCTCTTGCTAAAGAGCAGTGAAAAGAATGTCCTCAGAAGAGGACCAAAAAAAATTTTTTTTCAAAAGAAAAAGAAGACAATACAGCCCTGGCCAGGTAGCTGATGGCTCGGGTGGCTGGAGCATCATGGCGTACACCAAAAAGGTGGCAGGTTCGACCCCCTGTGGGGCACATATGGGAGACAGCCAATCGATGTTTGTCTCTCACATCTATGTGTCTCTGTCTGTCTCTCTCTTCCTTCCTCTCTCTCTAAAATCAATAAACATTTCCTCTGGTGAGGATTTAAAAAAAAAAAGTAGAGTGGAGCAAAATCTTTAAAGCACAGGAAGAAAGAAACTGTCCATCTTATCAAGTGAAAGTATCTTTCAGACATCCTGAAGGGTGGGCCATCTGAAATGGCTGTGAGGACTTTGGCAAATCCTCTCCCCAGGAAGCAGCAACAAAACAAGGTAACTATTTAAGGACTACAAAATGGACCAAAGTTGTACAGCAAAACTGAGAAGCATTACTTAAGAAATTCTACTGCAGCTGATGGGGGACTAGGAAGTTGGAAAATTTTAGTTTAAGTAATAGTTAACAAGCTTAGTAGTCAATGAGTGTAAAAGCTATTGTTTCAGGAACTGAAGGTGTGACCCACCCTGACTCCAGACCACCAGCAGTTCCATCTTTGTGCCTCGGGAAGACTGCAAGCAATCAAGACGGTATCTGAGCCATTGGGCTCCAGGGTGAAAGGACCACAGGCCAGGACACAGCTAAAGACTACAGCCCAGGGCGAGCATGCTGCAGTTTTAATCCAACCAACTTTTCCCTGAATTCCAAACCCCTTACTTACACTGTGTTCTCCCTATAAAAAGGGCCATTTTAAAATGGAATTCAAGACGGTCTATTAGTGTACAAACCCGCTGTCTCCTCAGATTGCTGGTCATCTGAAAAAAAAAGCCCCCGTAAAAATTCAGTCCCTGTCTCTGATTTTTGGGTCTGGTAGGTGGCAGGCAGCACGAACAGTTCCTCTTCCCGTTTCAAGCATGGTGAGAACCGCAGACATCTGTGGTGTTCCGTGTGCGGCTCTTCACATGACCACCCCTCCAGCTCTTCGGGCTTATGAGGAAGAAGGGCAGGCCTTCGGGAAGGGCAGACTTTATATAAGCAAAGCACAGAAAATTCTATACCAGGGATGTCGAAAACAACCGCAATTGAAGTGGCAAACATTCAGGGAAGGACAGCATGCCAACCAGCCAGAGTCAAGGCTGGTCAGTGCAAACAGCCAGATGCAGAACAGGAAAACCAGGGGACCGAGACAACAGACAATTGTTTTTACATGCTATTAGAAAGGAACAACAAACCTGAAATAGTCAATTTTGCTAAACCATGTCACCAAACCATACCTTAAAAACTAACTTAATTGTAGTTTCAGCTTCTCCCAGGAGCAGAATTTTAACCCAGTCTGGAATTTCTGATCAGCATTAGTGAGGTGATCTGCCTAACACGACCTGCTAAGGGAAGGTGTCTGCTTAAGATAACCCACTCTTTTTAACCTCTTAGTCTCACCCTCTTTCTACCTATATAAACCTTTCATTTTATACAACTTGTCAGAGGGCCCTTCCAGTTGCTAGATGGAATGCTACCCAATTCATGAATCGCTGAATAAAGCCAAGTAGATCTTTACATTTACTCAGCTGAGTTTGTTCTTTAACAATATAGCAAGAAAGACAGGTTGTAAGGCATGTTCCCGGTGCCGTGTGTACCAGGAGACACGTACAAGAATGCTCATAACAGTGCTATCTCCAAAAGCAAAAACCTTTAAAAAGCCCAGCTGCCCATCCACAGTCAAAAGGATAAACAGCCCATCTTCATACAAAAGAAACCTATGGAGCCATGAAACAGAAACCTACGGAAACACAGAAGTGGATGAACTGTGTGGCAGTACACAACAATCCGAACAAATCTTAGGAAGAAAATATTGAAGAAAAAAAGCAGGTTGCAGAAGAACACACAGAGTATCATCCTATTTGTATTACACTGAAAAACAAGACATTGTTTGGGGATATAGGCCTATGTTGTCAATCTCCAAAGTGAACTCCCGAGGATTAGGTACTGGGCAGCCTGCCTGACCAAGGCTGGCAGGGTGGGGATGAGAAGGGCAGGTGAAGGACATGAATGAACAGGAAGCTGGGTAACACGAAGTCTCATGATAGCAGAAGTCACTGACTGGGGGAGGGAAAAGGTGGAAGCATCTCAGGGGAAGGGAATGAGACCTGGGTTACCCTTTAGATACCATCATTCACTTGCACTACAGACCTCAGGCAAGTGTTCACCTTCTACCCGGCTCAGGATACAGAGATCGATCAAGATAACGCATGCTGCAGAGCCTTTTAAGCGCCTTCAGAAGATGAGACAGATAAATTTCAAGTGCACCAGTCTCAAGTAGAAGTGGATTTACTAAGACACTAACGACACTTAAGCTTCAGGACCCCTCACCTGCCCAAGCCCCTGAAAAGGGCCCCTAAATATTTTGTATTATTTTTCCTTAAGAGAGCCCCCCAATGGTATCAACTTCAAGCTGTATTACACTAACCTGAACTCCAAATGGTGAAACATTTAACACACAACCAGAGGATACGTGTGTTTAAAATATTTGCTCCTCCTGAATTTTCCTCCTCATGAAACTATCTCCTAATTTAAAATGCATTTCCCTCAGGAACTAAGAAAGTCTGAAAAATCAAAGCTCTCAAAAGAGTGTGACAGCGAGGCCCCAGAAATGTCTGGCTGTGTCCTGTATTCTTGTGCAGAGACCTCAGGATACACCGACTCTGGCCGGATACCTCAATACAAGATTATTTTTGTAACAAGGCCCTTTGCTAAGAAGGTACAAACTAATTTGGCAAATATCCTTGCTAAATATTATAACTGGCTTAACTATGACAAAGCACAAGCACCTCTGGGTTGTGTCTACAGCCTGCCTTTAAGACACTCTGCAATCTGGCCAAGGCTGGCAGCACGGTCCCACCCTCCCTGCCTTCAGCAAATGCTCCAGACTCTGGTCTTCTGCGGCAGGGTCGGGAGAGGTGGAAGTGCACGGGCCGTGGCAGAGGCATGGGAATGAATGCTGTTCCTTACCACGCCAGCATTTTGTGGAGCACAGAACTCCTTGTGCTTTGTCTCCTATGTGGACGAGCAGAAGCTGAACCACTGATCTGAGAAGAGGGAGAGGAATTTGCCACCAGACAAAACTATTTTCAAGAACAAATTACCTAGAAAGGGGATTTGCTTAGTGGAGATTGAAAAATTTGTGGAGTAAGTCAAAACTCTTCCTCCACAAAATGGCTGTATCTAACAGGGAAAGAATAGAACTCACTGGAAAATGTTACTTGGGCCCTGACCAGTGTGGCTCAGTTGGTGGGGCGTCATCCCGCAAAGTAAAAGGTTGCCAATTCTATTCCCGGTCAGGGTACATGCCTGGGTTGTGGGGTCAGTTCCTGGTTGGGGAGCCTCCCAGAAACAACTGATCAATATTTCTCTTCCACATCGATGTTTGTCTCTCTCTCTTCCCCCTCTCTTAAAACAAACAAATAAAATCTTAAAAAAAAAAAAAAAAAAAGAGCTCAGAGGGCGGAGTTAAAAGCCCTGGAGGACTATTTCCAGGCCTTAAGAACTAATCCAGGAACTAGAGCTTGCCCAGCTGGATTTCAAAGCTGCAGTGGGCTGGTGACTCCTTTTTATCCCCAATCTACCCCCTTTATGAACCAGAATGTCTGTAACTGTCACCCTATGCCAGTTCCACCTAGTGTGTTGGGAGGGCTGGGGTAGGTACCTTGTCTCTTTAGTCTCACAGGTCCACAGATAGAGAGGAATCGTATTCAGGAGTGTACTCAAAGGGTTACACTCCGGGACCTCATCTATACCTGACTTAGATGATCTTGATGATGAGATTTTAGAGTTTTGAGCCGAGGGGATTTAGGACTTTGAACTGTTACCATAATGGAATGAGGCCTTAGGGGGAGGTGACTATATTTTTCATGTGCAGAGATGTGAATTGTGGGGGCCAGCAGGTAGACTGTGGTAAGAAAGAAATTTAAGGTGGCCCCTATAACCTTCACCCCTGGCGTTACTCCTGTGTTCAAGTAACCTAATAGGGTAAAAGGAAGATTATCTGAGTGGACCTCCTCTAATCACAGGAGCCCTTTATAAGCAGAGCTTTCTCTGGCTGGTAGCTGAAGAGGAGGAATTCAGAGATCAAAGTATGAGAAACGTTCAACAATGCAAGGGAGGTTCTCTGTTGCTGAGATGGAAAGGTCACAGGGCAAGGATCATGGGAATGAGGGGCTAGGAGTTGTCCTGGCTCACGGACAACAATAAAATGGGACCTCAGTCCTACAACCCAAAGGAACTGGATTCTGCTAGTAATCTGGATGAGCCTAGGTGCAGGTTCTTCTCCAGAGCCTCCAGACGAGAGCCTAGTCTGGTTGATACTTTGACTTTGGCCTTGTGAGATCCCTAAACATGGATCTAGCCAAGTCTGCCTGGAGGTAGATACTAACCAAGTTCTGACCTACAGAACTGTGAAGTAATAAATCTGTACTGTTTTGAGCTATGAAACTTGTGGTAATTTGTTACACAGCAACAGAAAACTCATCCAGATTTTGTTTAAGTCTACAGATTCTATTTCTGGACATGCTGCTGCTCCAGCCAAATCTGAGAGCAGTTCTCAGCCAGTAGCAAGAGGACCAGGTGAAGTTCTGGGGGCCAGCCCTTCCTAGAACAAGTTTCTTCTCCTGCAAAATGGGTGGATTGAAGGAGAGAAGCTGGAAGAAAATACTTCTACACCAACATGTCTTTTCAAATATCAGATGTATTATTAATCACAATGCATATGCTGACACCTGCAAAAGCAGGACCAAGGCACAGCTCACCTTCCTCAGGCCAGGACTGTGAATTACTGGAATAAAGATATGCTCCCTCTCCTCCTGCTAGAAAAGTGCCCAGGAAACACTCATCTCCCTTTAAAAAACAAACAAACACAAAGAGCAGGTGATTCATAGCATAAACATACACAGAATCAAAACTCTGGCCAAGTCTGTCTGCAAAAGCTGCTGAGTCAGCCTCAGATAAACCCAAGTCTGGCATTGCCTGAATCTCGGTCATGTTACTGGAATCCTTTCACTTGTGCTCAGAAGAAGAATGTAAAGTCGTCTCTGGGCCAGGCACCAAGGCTGGCAATGCCTATTCATGTTCCAGTGAGCTTCTATCATCTGGAGGTGCTTCTTCTTGGCCTAAAGCTTTAACCCCTCAGTTCTATATGTCTGACCAATCTGAGATCTGCTTTTCATAGTATAGGGAAATTTAAAAAACAACACTGTAAGGTTTAACTGGCAGAAAGAATCCTTGTAACTATGTGCCCCATAAGTGGTTATTTCTAGAGCTCTGCTGGGAGGAGGGAAAATGTGAACAGGAATTGAAACAAAGAGGTGCAAGTCCTTTAGATTAGCCCTAAAATGAGGCATTTTCAATTATCTTTATATAAAATGCTTATATTTCACTTTGCTATGATGTTAACATTAAGAATAAGAAGGCTATTTACCTTCACTGCTTGCTGGGTTTTTTCCGACAATTTCACTTCATTATCTTCTACCTGTGTCCAAAAGGAATACAGATTTTCAGTTACTACTTCAAGGGCAAAATTCTGCTAGGTGTCTCCTACTCCACCCCACCCCACCCCTGGATTTGAATATTTCTAGGAGTCTGACTGGGCAGTCCCTCCACCAAGTCCAGTCTGAGGTCCTCATGGCTGGCAGGGTTGGCTGCTGGTCAACAAAGCTCAGGGCCCAAGGCCATGACAGGCTCTCACTGGGACCTGAGGTTCAGCTAAATGAGCCTATGATATGCGGAGAGGTTAGTCTCCACTTACACTTCACTTCAGAGAAAGACAACTATTATTAGGGATGAAGGAAAGAGAACATATTAAAATACTTTGGGGGCATTCTCATTTAGACACGTTCATGCTGAGGACAGTAACCCCTGCTCTTCTCTGTCTGTAACAGAACTGTAGAAGCAGAATATGAAGAGCTCCTAAAATGGGTCCTCAGATCACTACCAGATTCACTGCTGTCAGATTTTCTGTGTCCTAAGGCACCAGAGTTTCAAACCAAGTCCTACTGATGAAAATGGGACCTTTCCACACATAGAGAGGCCCTGCTGTACACACTCAGGAGCAACGATTCTGACCAGAGAAGGGAGCCACATAATCCACTCCTCGCTATCTGTGTGTGACCCCAGATAGGTTGGTCAATTTCTAAGCCTCGGTCTCCTCATCTGTAAAATGAGGGTATTAATTTTTTCCTTTCCCAAATTCAATAGGGACCCTGATAACTTAGTTCATTTCTTCTCAAACTTTTCCAAAATCATGAGTTAGAGAAACTAGATTCATTTGTATAAAGAAAAAGCTGAGATAAACACTTCCAATCCTGAACAGCAGGTAGTTCAGGATCTGACAATCCACCAGGGAGCCAAGGAAAAGGCTCTTTATCAAATGTTCTCCCAGATATCTCCCCATTTACATCCACTTCACCTGATGAATGACACTAACCAGCCAGGAGCAGAATCTGGGTATGGCGGCTGTCAGCACTATGAAGCTGGTTTCTGTGTTAACAGTGCCATCTGTAGGAAGACCACAGACATGCAGGTTACTGCCCACCACCTGAGCCCACCTTGCAGGCAGGCCTCAGACAGCTATGCCCTTCCCCTTCTCAGGGTGTGGGGGAGGAGAAGACATCTCTTACTAGTATAGAGTCTGATGCTCTCAGCAAATGAAAACTTCCTCAAGGGGGGGCGGGAGACTAGTAAAAGGTTCCCACATAGTGATGAATTCTGTTATTATTTACAATAGAAACATTTAAATGAAGAATTCTGGAAAATAGTCCTTATCTTTAGTTTTAATTTTTATCAAGGTAGTACAGGTGTAAACATATTAAAAATCAAACAAATTGTCCTACCAGCACTGGGTATTCTCCTTCTCTAGAAATTCTTGCCAATATAATGGGTAAAAAAATGAATCTAATTATAGTTTCAAATTGCTTTTACTTGACTAGTAGGTAGGCTGTACATGTCCATATATATGCATATGTAAAGCTAGCCCCGGCTGGTGTGGCTGAGTGGATTGAGTGCTAGACTATGAACCAAAGGGTCCCCAGTTTGATTCCAGTCAGGGCACATGCCTGAACTGTGGGCCAGGTCCCCAGTAGAGGGCGCCCGAGAGGCAACCACATATTGATGTTTTTCTCCCCCCTCTCCCTCCCTTCCCCCTCTCTAAAAATAAGATAAATAAAATCTAAAAAAAGGATAATACATATATTACATATATATACCCCGTATTTTGCTATGTATAATGTGTTCCTGTGTATAAAATACACACCTATGTTTTTGGCCCAAACTTTCAGGAAAATAATTTTTTGTTTTAAGTTTTTAATTCAATTTTTAATTTATACTTAGATACTTGTTTTTTGAATTATAAGGAATTTTAGCATTTTTAAAAAAGATTTTATTCATGTGCCCTGACTAGGAATTGAACTTTTTGGTTCGCAGACTAGTGCTCAATCCACTGAGCCACACCAGCCAGGGCAGCATGCATTTTTTAAAAAACATATTATAGTACAAGAACTTTTATGTAACAAATAATTATAAAACACAAGAACAGATACAAGGTATCTCAGGCGCTACCCATGTATAATGCATATCCTTATTTTTCCCTAAAAAATCTGGACAAAAAGTATGTACGTATTATACATGGCAAAACACAGTAGCTCCTTTTTTTCCATTTCTGTGAACTGCCTGTTCATATTTTTTTGCCCATCTCCTATTGGGTAGCTAGTCTTTTTCCTATTAGTTTGTAAGAGCTCTTCATAAATTAGGATATATACCCCTTGTTTATCATTAATATTCTAGTATTTTTTTACCAGTTTTTGCTGGTCTTTTGACTTTGTTTATGGTTTATTTTGTCAAAAATAAAGTTTCAAGCTCTGCTTTCCAGAGACTATGTACACTTACCCTTTTCTTTAACCAAGATCTGAGACGTCAAAAATGATTCTGAGAAGACCACAGACCCTAAGCATCCCCTTCCTCCCAGCAAGTCGGGAATATCATAGACGGTCATACAAGCCTGTATAAAATGAGAAAACTGGGTTAGGCCACTTGTCAGTCTTAAACCTTCAAGGAGAGACCTGTAAGAAACATCACAAAATGCTGCTTTCAGGTACATTTCAAAAGAGAGCTGGAGAGATTCCAAGCAAAACTCAAGTCATCTGGAAATATGTCTCAGAACTGGGAGATGACCTCAGGATAACATAGGCTTCCCTGAAATTGCTTCTTTAGAAAAAAACGTTTTTTAAAACTTATTGATTTGAAAGACAGAGAGAGAAATCAACTTGTTGTTCTACTTATTTATGTATTCACTGGTTGATCCTCGACTGGGGATCACACCCGCAACACTGGAGTATCGAGACAACGCTGTAACCAACTGAGCAACCCAGCCAGGGCCTACTCAACTTCCTTTCCATTCCCCTTCCCTTCCCTTTTGGCAATTGATCAATGTTTCTCTCCCTCTCCTCTTCCCTCCCTTTCTCTCTCTCTAAAAATAATAAAAATCTGTTACAAAAATAATTACCATTGCTGTACTACTCTCTGTTAATGAGGTAAGACTACTGCTTTCCCACTGGTGATGGTGGTGGGCATGCACTTGCATCAAGCCACCCGCAGCGGTGCCCCTAGTTCCCAGTGACTCCAGGCAGTAGCCGCCAAACAGACTCAGGTAGAACTAGCGCCCACACATGCTGCAACAGAACCTTGGCTGGGTGTCTACCATCCTCTTGTGCATAGCTTGCCAATCTTCTTCACATCAGAATGCTCTGGGATAAATGGAGAACTCAGCTTGTGGCTGGGAGCAACTGGCCTAGAAACTTTGGCTCCCCTAGGCCATGGCAGCCTACCCAGGGACCAATACTTTTGTACTGCTACACCATTCTCCTGGCCCATCAGTGCGCCCCCAGCACATGGGCCAGAAAGCTCTTCTCTGACTACCCCACTGCCCTGGACAGTCAGGCTCCTGGTTTTTTGTTTGTTTGTTTGTTTTTGTTTATTTTCACAGGCCCCTATTAAGGGCTTCAATAGAGGCCTTGGAACACTCAGAAGTCACAGAAACCTCACTGGGGTCTGTGTTGCCCCAGGCTTGCTCTCTGCTCTCATTTCCACGTGGGGTCAGAGCAACCTCAGCCAACTGGAGGAAACCTCCCAAACCTTAGGAAGAGGGGCTCTCTCTAGCCAGCTAGACTCTGGACCCGCAGGAACCTAGGCATGGGAATGTGGATGTGGTGGGCCTGGCACAGCTGCCTGGGCAGCCTGAGAGAGCACAGATTCACCCCTGCTGCGGCTGGAACAGTTCTGAGAACAGACCAGTTTCTTCAGATGAGGGATGGGCTGCCTAAGACTCCCACCGACTCCTCTCTCACCCCTCGTAGATGTCCCTCCACAGGCCACTCCCTGCCCGCTGAGTTGTAAGAGCTCTGCTTACCGTCTTCACGAAGTATAAGCTATCTTCACCGTCCAGAGGCACAATTCTAGAAAAGAGAGAGATGGGAGACAGTCATTACATTTACAATGTTCTCTTTTTTTCAACTTGGCAGCAACCTGGATTTTTCTCAGGGATTTTCAAAACGCTGGGCTACATGTACGCAGAATTCGAATGCAGGCCACTGGGAGAGAAGAGGAAGCACTTAGGGTACAACGTCTCAGCTGAACAGGGCCAGCCACGGGCCCGACCCTGGAATGATGCTACTGGCAGGTGTGGAACTGTGAGACGACAACCCACATCGGCAGTTACAAGGCAGCCTTCTCTCTTTACTTCTAAAACTTGCCCAAATGAGGATGCACCACAAACATTTACTTACCTTCCCTGATTATTCACAGCATGTATATGAAAAGCCATCTTGGAGCTGTAGACCAAAAACAAAACAAAACCAGTCAGTAGGCTCTTGCTGCCCTGCCCCCAGGGCTGGCGCCCGCCCTAAACACCTGCTACCGTGGTGCACCTGCGCAGGGCCCCCACAGCACACTTGTCACGTGGAGGGCCAGCACCTAACCCCAGTCCTGGCCCACTATGCAGATTCTCGGGGCTGTCTTAGGGCAGGAGAAAACTATGCGACAGGACTGTTGCCCACTGCAGGCTGAGAGTGACGCTCTACTGGCCTGGGGCCTCCTGCCCCACAGCCTGACATAAGGTCCTCATTCTCCTCTTCCTTTGCCAGTTTTGGGTCAAGCTGCCATCCATGCTTGGGGTCTGAGCAGAGGCCAGGTCCCGTGTTCCTCTCAGGAGATGATTTGTTAGCCTGAGGCAGTTTGAAGGTACTGAGGACAGTAACCTTGTGGAGAGAAAGCAGTAGGGCTCTAGGTGGAGGACTGGCCCTGGAAGACCCTCTGCCCGTGGCCTGGTGTTTTCTCTTTGTTCCTTTCTCCAGCTAGGGTGGCGAGCCTAGGCCTCGGGATTGAGAGGTGGCCTGCCCTGGAAAGGCTGAGTGACTTGAGCGAGGCCCCGAGGAAAGGAGGAATGGATGACCGTGTTGGTTACCTTGACAGTGGCTAACATTTACATAGCCACTCCCCCTACAAGGTGAGGAGATGAGGAAAGAGATGCATGAAGAGCTCCCTATCTTGTCCAAGGTCACACAGCTGGAAAGTAAAGGAGCGTCCTCAAACTTAGGTCACCCGGAAGACAGTCCAGGGCAGTGCAAGGCACGAGGGGAACAAACTCCCTCTCTCCCTCCCCTCTCATGGCCGGAGTTACAAGACTCAGAAGACCCAGAGGAAAGGAGACCTGAAATAAGCCTAAAACCTGCACCAAAGAAACCTGGCTCCTTCCTCTACTCGTGGAAATGCAGAAATAGAATTCTTCTTGTCGGACCAATGGACAGACTTATCTTTCTCAGTGTTCGTTCTCACACCCAGGGCTGTGGATGTAAGAAGATGCGAGGCATGAGCTGCAGCACCACAGGGCACGTGGCTGAAGTGTTCTTAAAGAAACTCCCCAAGAGTGGTGTCCTCTGACTCCGCTGTTAAAGGTGTGCCTAGGTGGTCCTCAGAAGGGACAGTGGGTGAAGTGGACTGGGCCACAGAAATCCACTGTGATGTGCTGGCCAGGAAACAGGCAATGCAAGACTGCCAAGGAAGCCAAATTCCCAGAGTGTCTAGATCCTGAGACACAGCCAGGCTTGGGGTTTCTTCATCTGAGAGGCACATATAGCCCCGGGCCAGTCTCTTCTAAGCCGTGACTGTCTTCACACGCCCAGGGCCTCTGATCCTGATGTACCTCACCACACATTTCCAGCTTCACCTTTCTAACATCTGAACTATGTCCGTCAGGCGTCCAGTGGTTCCAGTATTCACCTGCCTCCCGTGCCAGTGTCAGCACATGGCTTTCTCAAACAGCTCCTCCATCTTTGACTCCTTGACCTCTCAAAGCCCTGACCATGAAGATCCTCCTTCATACATATGATTAATAGTATTGAACATTTCTCAAAGGGGAAATGGAATATCGACTACACAGGAGAAAAGGGTGTTTACAAACACAGACATTTAAAAAATTTCCTTTTAGAGAAAATGTCAGCCATTGCTTACCGTAGGGCTGCCTTAAACTGCACCAGCTCAAAGGACTCTAACTGAGATACCATGGTCTGCTCAGCTACCTCCTTGGCCTATAAAACCAACACAAACCAGAAACAGTTAGTTTCTACAGCAGGAAAGCGACATCACTGACAGAGAGAGCCCTTCTAACATCTGGCCAGGAGAACACTGTGTCCCTTCCCTTTACGTGACTACTGTGTGTACATCAACAGCTTACAGTGAAAACATCATGTTAAGGGAAACAGGTGCCTGCTTTCTTCAGGCTGGGCTCACAGGAAACACTCCATTCAGGTAGATAGGCACTGCAACCTGATCTGCTGGGAAGGTGCCATTGTGAGGTTTGGAAATGCCCTCTTTGCTCCCCTCTCCCCTGGCCCTGGGGGGAGGGACTCCTGCCCTCAGAGATTCTGCCCAATGCTAAGACTACTCCAATACCTAGAGTTACAAAAGATCCGTCAAAAAAAAAAGGTATGGCCCTGGCTGGTGTGGCTCAGTGGATTGAATGCCGGCCTGCAAACTGGAAGGGCATGGTTCGATTCCTGGTCAGGGCACATGCCTGGGTTACAGGCCAGGTCTCTAGTTGGGGGCCTATGAGAGACAACCAGTCAGTGTTTCTCTCCCTCTCTTTCTCCCTCCTTTCCCTCTCTAAAAATAAATAAATGCAATCTTAAAGGAAAAAAAAGGTATGAAAACTGAGGTCTGCACTGAATTTAAGTTGACTGAGGAGGGGGGATGGCAAGGAGCTGGTGACTATACTACAGCCTCTCTGCTGTCTACATCACACACAACCTTTCCAATGGCAAATGGCTTCCTTCAGGAAAGGTCCCACTGGCACTGGGAGGCACCAAGCCGACTCCTAGCTCCTTGCTGGGTCAGATACAGGAATGCAACTCAGCAGGGCAGGGCAACCGCAGAGCAGCAGGGAAGACAACGGTCAGAGAACGAACGAGAGCACAGGTGCTTGTCTAGGAAAGGCAAGTCGGGTATCTCATCTTTAGTAGTTGTTTTTAGTTTTTCAATGCTGAATTATAGGAAATAAACTATGTAGCTCAAAACAAACTTACCAAATTTTATTAAAATTTACAATAGGATAAGATTATATATACATATATTTAACATTCAAAAGCCTTTCAAAACCTATTAAGTAAAATAAAGTGCTACAGAATGATTTTCCTTGAACACAACTAGGTATCCACAAAGAAGTGCTGATTAGTTGTCATTCATGAGACAAGGGCGGCCTGGTCACGGGCAGTACAGGCAGCGCAAGCTCCGGGCTTTAAAAGCGTCTCTGTCTGGTGCCAGCTCCACGGGGGTCCAAGCTCACACAAAACTGAGTACTACAAAGTGTCCAAAAACAAAACAAAAAAATACCACCCAGATGGACAGGAAGTTTTACATTAAAATAATTTCTAAGGAAAGAGAAAGATGGTCTTTAAATTACCTTTGTTAAACTGGAAGTTTTAGCATAACATGCAATGCCAGCCAAAACAGCCTCAATAACAGCAGCATATACCTGGGACAAGAGCCTACTTTTAAAAACAGAAAATACGGGTTAACTACAGCATTACAAGGTTTCATCAAAAGCTGCATGCACAAAAATTACATTCCCTACGGTACGGACTTTCAAACAGATTGAGAAGTGAAAAAATGGAACACACTGATTTCTAACCCTTTTAAAAGCCATCTGCCCCACCTGAGTTATACTCTCCTCTGTTAATCTGTGAGAAAAGCCAGCTCTTCTTAATTCTGCTCAAAAGACCAATCTTCCCTGTTTGTAATCCAACAGAAGAAAACTATCTGGGTCCACGGGGGGCAGCTACCCGAGGACCCCGAGCCCCTCGGTGCCATGATAAGGACTTGACGCTTTCCCAGAGACTGGGCGCACCGTGCCTGCCTGTCATTTCCCCAACACTGCTGAGGGCTGGCTGCTGCTGGCACCTCAGGGTGGGAGACCTCAGGAGGGAAAAGAGACTGCTCCGGGAGAAGAGGGGCTGCCCTTAAACTCAAATCGACAGTTCCAGACCACTTTCTAAGCAGCTTACCTCATCTAGAGACTAGAGACCGCTTCGCAGGGAAAGCGTTCGCTCCTACAGCACTCCTCGCACCAGTCCTGTTCTCTCTCTTTGACTTCTTTCTCACTTCCCAAAGCCATGAGAAAAGTTTTTCTTTTCCAGACTGGGGGCACCACCAAAGCCCCCAGAAAATGTAAGTCTGGCTGCCTTTACGGCAGGGTTTCTCAATTTCAGCATTTTGGGACAGACAATTCCCCAGACACTGCCAGATGTCCTGGTAGGGGAGGGGACTGGTGGGAGTGGTATGGTGCAACTGTCCTGGTCTGAGAGTCACAGCTTTAGGGGAAGGAGATCCAGAATCTTATTAGGATAATTACAGAGAAAAGAGGCTCCTCCCTGAGGCCTTTAAAGGCCAGGGAGGTGACTGGCAAGGAAATGATAAAGCCGTACCCAAGAACAGGTCTATTTTTTTTGCCTGAGAACCTTGACACAGCTCAAGGAAGGCAACAGGAGTTTGAAAGAAGGAAGGAGCATGGAAGTGATCTGGTCTACCCCTCGCATCTTACAAAGAGGCAGGTAGGGCCTCTGGAGGTGGAATAAGTGATCCAAGGCCACGGAAAATTAATGGCAAACTCAGACTCGGGTCTGCTCTCAGCTTGGTGCTTTTCCACCGTGCCACCTCACACTGCCTGTTCCCTCTGTGAGTCCCTCACCATGCCCCCACGCTGTGGGTAAGAGGTTTGAGTTGGGTAGACAGAAAAGGGGCAGAAAAAGTACACATAACAAAACGACAACCCCAAGGATCAACGTATCCTGAAGATTGTGGGCCAGGGGATGGCAGAGGGTATGCCTGGTAGGAGGGGGTCCAGCAGGGACACTGCCAGTGAGTTTGGCCACTTCCAGGTACAACCAGAATCCTCCACGCCTTGACACTAAGCATGAAGCTTCACAGAGGCCAACCCCAAAGATTCATAAAGGTGCTCTTCCTCCTCCGCAACCCAGCTTGATTCAAACATCACTCAGTACTAACATTGTTCAGGCCTCACCCCTGCCCCCCGCCCCCTGGCCTTCTTCTATGCAGGCCCTCAGACAAAAGCTCAATACAAAGCCACCTGGCTACTAACTCATAACACTGCCTGGATGAGAGGCCTACAACCTATGACAACGGAAGAGCCTGTTCTGTGTCTGGATGGCACTGCTGTTGGGATATCACAAGGCCCAAAAGTTCTACCAGCTCCATGATTCAGCAAATTTCCTGATGTGGGTCCGAGTGCCCCCCAATACCAGTCCCTGAAGCTGGACACCAATGGAATTGGGTTAGGCGAAATGTCTAAGGGTCCAGAATGAGGACCCAGTGCAGTGGCTAAGTATAGCTGGCAAGGAAGCACAAGCAGGTAAAAAGCAAAATTACGGATACCTACCAATAGATCAGAATGTGGTTGACTTGGTAAAGTGAAGAAAACCCACAAAAAAAAATGCAATACACTATAATTACACAAAACCTAAATGTATAATTTTTTTTTAATCCAGAAAGATACATGTTAACATATTACTGAGTAGTGCCAAGAGGAAGAGTTATGGAGGATCTTACTTTCTTTTCTCTATTTTCCGGATTTTCTGCAGTGTGATTATATTACCTCCTAAGAAGAGGAAGGGACACTAGAGCTCTCTCTCGCCCTCTCCACATGAGCACAGAGGAAAGGCCGTGTCAGGACACAGCGAGAAGGCAGTGGTCTGTAACTCACACAGAGAGGCCTCACCAGAAACCACCCCTGCTGGCACCTTGATCTTGGACTTCAGCTTCCAGAATTGTGAGAAAATAAAGTTCTGGCTGTTTTAGCCACCCAATCTGTGAAATTGTGTCATGGCAGCCCAAGCAGACTAATGCAAGAGTTAATGAGTTAATTTCCTGTTTTTCATTTCCTCCTGTATGTGGGGGGAGAGAATCAACACCAGAACCTTTCTAAGGCTGCACAGCCTGAGCTCAGATCCGGATGCTGTTCTATAGGTCTGAGCCGCTCAGTAAACACCTCTCAGACAAGGGTTCGTTTCTCAGATTCTCCCAATGGGTTTCAGGGTGCTTTATTTTTAGGAAAGCCCCCAGTAAAAATGCACTACGTAGAACACACAGTAAGAAGAGTCACACCGTTCAAATGCACGGGTCTGCAGGGAGGAAGTCTCTGAGGTCTGGAGAGAGGAGCAGCTGGCAAAGCTGGCAGGGTCTTTCAGTCTGGACCCCCAGCTGACAGAAAGGGGCTGGGGACCTCCTGGGAAACCACACAACTCTGCTCACGGAATTAAGCAAATGTCCTACCCACTGCTGATCTCTAAAGGAGGTAGACAGGATAGCCCAACCTCTGAGTAACTAAACTTTGAGAAAGAAAAAATAAAATAGAAATGAAGACTTACATTGGTTCAGTTTTCTTGGGCAACTTGTTGTTATCACCTGTGAAAGAGGACCTAATAAGAATGTGATAAGATCACAGGAGACGCAAACACTCCACAAGGAAAGTAGAATTTCTTAATTTAATTCAAAGGAGATGTCAAGAACTACTTTTTTTCCTCTTTAAGTTAAATACTGCACAAGAACAAACAACAGCAAAACCAAGATCCTCTCAGTGTTCTCCTGGTCCTCCGACCCCGATGCTGACTTTGACAACCTGCTCAGCATTACCACCAAATCCCAGAGAAGACAGAATCTTAGGTTCTGGAAGGTCTTTGCTTTTATTTTAATTTTTTAAATGAGGAGGAATAAGTAAGCATATTCAGTTCTGCCTCTTTCTTAATTTCCTTAGTTATGCGGCCCAAATCATGCTTCTCTTAGAGCTCCCTGGCTCATGTAACACTGCCCAGGAGAAAACCTGGACCCCCAGGTCCACCTGCTTTCTGAGGTACTGTGAAGCAGTGCCGAGTCCTTTCACTCTAGAATCTAGAGGTTCTTTTCAATGTCCCTCTGCATGCCTGCAGCTTCCAGTTACCCCAGCAGGACAGGCAGCTCCAGTCAGCCTTTTTGGACAGCCCCACAGCAGGAGCCCTTGCTCCTGTGGATGTTCCCAGGTCCTGGGTACCTTTCTGCCACAGCCTTTCTTCACTCTCCTCACAAAGAGTTGGGTGGGCACCTGGCTGAGTCATCCAAACTCCCAACCCAGTCCACACCTCCTGCTACCTCCAACTAGGACTTGTTCATCCTGGCCCTCCCTCTGACACTGAGCACACGGTCTTACACATGGTCAGACCTGACATATACTGAACCAATAGTTTTTCCTCCTGAAACACATTCTGTGAGAAAGGTGTTAAGCAATCCACCCTCCATCTGCAGTCAGAGAGGGGGTTTGGAGGCCTACAAATTGGGCATAATGGGCTTCTGAGCAAAGCAGTAAATCATGAGTCCACTTCTAGTTCATGGGAGGAACTATTCATTAAGTTGATAAGAAGATGACTTATAGTGACTTACCCAAGTAAGGAATGTGAGTAGTCCCAAAAAAGTACGTTCTTGAACAAGCAAGGGGCCCCTTTGGTGAGACACACTGTACAACCTGGATATCAGAAAAAGTAAAGTAAAAAAAGGACTTAGGTGAATACAACTATAGAAACAAAAAGTGTATCAGTCAGTGGAAATCAATTTTATTTGACTAACAGCTGATGTATTATTTTTTAAAGGCACAGGGGAAAAGGTCACCTTTAATGGTTGTTTTCCCAAAGGTAACTGGTGTGTACATGTTCGTCTTTAACCCTGGCTGTCTGTGAGGTCACTATTGGGCACCCAGTCTGCCCGAGATGCTAAAGAGCAAAGGTGCTTGGATTTTTACTGCCATTCATATTCAGCCAGAGCTTCCAGAGCGAGGCTTCCCGGGCCCACATGAAGGCAGATGGTGGGGGGGGGCGGGGGAGGCAGCTACAAATTCAGGAAAGGCAGGTGTTACCTAGGTCCCCACCTTCACTTGCATTTCATCTCTGCACACAGGCCTTGCAGAAGACAAAATGCTAAGTTCTCTGGATTTTAAAATTCTTCTTCTTCTTCCTTGTTTGGCTGTTCATTTACAGAGATGTAACGGTATCTTTTTTGTCTTTTGAAATCTTTATCTATCTCATCAGGCTTCCTAGGAGAGCAGGTACAAAACACAAAAATGCTACCACTAAAGGAAATTAGCACAACATAGAAACATTAGCTAAACGTGAAACAAATGTTTGTCTTATTTTACTCCATTTGTTTAAGGAAGTCATGAGAGAATACATCACATTTTTTTCCTGTAATATTACAAATACTGTGATTCCAAGTTACAGATATGAAGTAAGAACTTATTCTGACTGATGTATAAATTCACTGCAGTGAATATGATCAACATTGCCAGTCTACTGATGAATCCATCAAAAGCATTCACTTCTGTTATACTGTTTTTGATTTCTAGCATTTCCTTTGATTCTTTCTTAGCATTTTTATCTCTCAGCTTACATTATCCATCTGTTCTCACATGCTGTCTACTTTTTTCTTTAGAACTCTTAACATATTAATCATAATTACAAAGTATGAGCCACATCTGGGTCTGCTTCTGATGGCTGCATTCTTCTTTAGACTGTGCTTTTTCTTGCCTTTTAGCATGCCTTGTAATTTCTTCTTGAAAGCTAGACAGGGCACATCAGGTAACAGGAACTGAGGTAAATAGGTTTTGATGTAAGGTTTTATGCTGATCCGAAAGGAAGCTGGGTTGCGTTTAACATTTTCTGTCGGGGCAGCTGCCTGGGGCTTCCAATGCCTCTAGCCCATTGTATTGTCTCCCCTGCCGTCTGGGGTTTCTGTAAGAACTCCTCCTACAGAGCCTGCACCCTCCCTTTAGAAAACAGCAAGATCCCGACAACACATCCACTCATGCAGCCCCGCAGCCCCTACTGGCTTGGAGACACATCTCCAGCCTCAGTGCAGAGAGAATTGGGGTTCAAGTTCTCTAAATCCAAATTTAAAAATAACAATGCCTACTCCCTAGCTTTCTTGATTGTCAGAGACATTTTAAAAATACTTAAAATTCCATTACAGTAGCACAGACTTATAAGACTTATAGTTATTAGAGTCTCATATTTAAGTCTATTGTTTCCCTTAAAAGAATGTAGCAGACAATACACCATCAAGTGCAAAAACCTGCTCCCTGGCCCCTCAGTAATAGGACAAAATCCTCAAGGTTTATGTCCTGAAGTGTAATGGTCAAGATATAATAAACTTGGCTTGGAATAACTATTTTCAAATTAACTTAAAATTCTTATTCTACTGATGATACTATTTTTACAACTTAGAGTTTGGTTGTAAAAGTATTTTTTAACCTTTTTTCTTCAAATTTTTAACAATTAAATGTGATGCTTTCAAATAATACCTAGTACTTAGATAAAAATAGTCAGTTTCTAATCACTTCTTTTCATTCCAAAACAACCTCACGTTCAAGGTTAAATCAACACACTAACTGAAAAGGTTCCTTTTATCCAGCTCCCCTCCTCCCTACTTGATAATGAAACCAATTAAGCACCTGGCAGTCAAGCCACTCACCATGTGTTTGGCAATGCTCCCGCTGGGACCAGTGTTGCGTACCAGGTGCCCTTCAGAGGGGAAGTTAAAGCTGCCAGCGTTCAGGTTTTCTCGCGTGGAGTGATTACCAAAGAGGACAAACGGCTGCCTATTAGGGCTAGAGTGGCAAATTAAAAGCATGATTAGAAAAGAGATTCCTGGCCAGGGCAACTTCCCAGTGGGTGAAGTCTCGGGCTTCTCTAAGTGTCTTCCGGCAGTCCAGGCACAGTGGTGTTGTCCACCTATGCTCCTTGCTGGTTGGAGGGGATGCCAGATGTCTCGGCCTCCTCCTACTGACTCACATGAATTAGTCAGTTGGGGACATAACTAAACCCAAGCCAGGTTTTTGTTTTCAGCTTGTCCTACTTCCTGATAACAAAGTTCTGTAAGTTTGCAGTGATGGAGCAAAATCCCAGCTTTAGAAATAGCATTTTAATAGAAATACCAATTTTAAAGAATGATAGCAGCTGTGATACTCAGACTGTAAACAGACAAGAGCAGAGCTGTTAGCAATCCCAGAGTTACTTTTAGGAGGGAAGGGAGAGAGTAGGATTGCAAGTGTTCTCACCACCACACCTACCTGCCCCTGCACCCTTCCCCTTCTCCCCTCCTCTCTTGGCTAGACTTGCTAGTGTTTTGTTTTCACTTTCTGCTCACTTCTCAGCCCACTTCAAGGGGTAGCCGCAGAAAATTCACTCAAATTACTCTTTGCAAAAGTCACCAAATTCCTTTCATGGAGCATACAGCAAACCCAATGTATAGTCATTAGCCCGCCCTTCCTTGGTCTCTTAGAAGCGCCTGACACCCTCCTCCTGCAAAAGCTGTTCCTTCTCTGCCTCCCTCACAAGTCCTCCTCCTCCTCTATTCGGCCTGTGCATATTCCCGGAGTTTTACCGTCAGCTATCTGCTCTCTCCTCTCACAATCCACTCCTTCCAGTCCTTGCAGTACATAAGCAGCAGCATCACCCATTCAGGGACTGAGCCGGACCTGAGGGGCCTCCCTGACCCTCCTGCTCCCTCACCCCTATGTCCACTCACAAATTCACTCCAACTTCCATTTCCCTCCGTCTATGCATCCACGAGCCTGTCCATGCTGCCACTGTTTCTTCCCTACACGACTGCAGTGCTTGCACAGCTTCCTGCTTACACCCTTGCCCTCCTACAGGCTACTCTCCACAGCGCAGAGAGGATGATCTTTTAAACATGCAAAGCCTTTCATGCCTTTATGTTATTTTCAGAAGAAGGGCCAAAATCTTTCACACGGCCAGCAGGGACTTGCATGGTCTGTCCTGGCCAACTTCTTTAGGTTCATGTAAGTCCACTCTCTCCCAACTCCGACTCTTCAGCCAAACTCACCTTCTCTTATGTTCCTTATGTTCTCACCTCAGGACCACTGCTTTTCTTTCAGTTATCTGTGCTCTCTTCCCCCAAAGGAGGTCACACTCTCCACTTACGGTCTTAAGAGTACCACGTTCTTTTTCCCTTCATGGCACTGGAGTTCGTAATTATATAGTTCTCTGTGAAGCTACTTGATTAATGTCTTATTTCTCCACTATACTATACATACACTCCATGAGTAGAGACCATGTCTGGTTTATTTTTTAACCATGTATCTCTTGCTTATTATGTCATATATTCTCAATATTCAATGACTAAAGGGTATTTTTTAAAAACAGTTCTGCTATGGACCAAATATTTGTGTCCTCATAAATTCATATGTTAAAATCCTTACCCCCAAAATGATGGTATTAGGAGGAAAGGACCTTTGGGAGGTGATTAGGTGTTAAGAATGATATCCCTCATTAAAAGGGATTATAAAAGGGGCCCTTCTAAAAGAGGTTCTAGAGAGATCCCTAGCTCTTTCTGTCATGCGAGGTTACAGAAAAATGACAGCCATCTATGAGGAAGTGGGCCCTCACCAGGCCCCAAATCTTCCAGCACCATGATCTTGGACTTCCCAGACTCCTGACCTGTGAGACATAAATGTTTGTGTGTGTGTGTCTGTGTGTGTAAGCCACCCATTTTATGGTATTTTTGTTATACCAGCTAAAACAGATCGAGAGTTTCCTTTATCCCCTTACCCTTTTCTTAAATAGCTCTTAGTGTTTATCACATGGAAAATTCTTGGCATTTCTTTTCATTACTCTTAAATATACTTCCTTGCCCTTACTGGTGAAGCTCAGTGGGTTGGGCACTGTCCCACAAACCAAAAGGTTTCATACAGGTTTGATCCCCCAGCTGGGCATATGCCTAGGTTGTGGGCCAGGTCTCCAGCTTGGGGCATGTGAGAGACAACTGATCAATGTTTCTCTTGCACGATGTTTCTCTCTTGTGGATGTTTCTCTCCCTCTTTTTTTCCCCTCCCTTCCCTTCTCTCTAATAAACAAACAAACAACAAATAAATAAAATATTTAAAGAACACACACACACACACACAAACTTCCTTAAGCTTCAGTAAACATGACTGATTTTTCTTCTGAAGCTTCCTCCAAGTTAAGTGACACTGGGCAGAAGATGACCGAAGCCCAGCCAGGGCGATGTGTCTCACTGTCAGACAGGGATGGGACTGGGGAAGAGAGGAAGGATCTGCTCTCATCTGTCCATCAGAGGAACTGTCCTCTGCTGGCTGTCCCGGTTACCGTGACGAGCGCTGCTGAAGGAAACACGTCGAAGACGACAAGTGCACAAGCACCCTCACAGCTCCGTCTCCTGGGGCTGAACCTCCACATGACGGGATGATCCCTCCTACTCCCCACAAGCCACTGCTGCCCTGCCCAGCCCTTGGACATTCTGCTTCCTCTAGCTCTCATGGGCTGGGGATGGAATAAAAAATTCTTTTCTTTAGCTTTCAGCAAGCTACAATGTTTTAAAAGCTAGTTTACTATAAATCTATGTTTTTAAAAAATACAAAAGCAGCAACACAGACAATTTTACAGAGTATGGATTTCTTACCCTGCGATGACTGAAGTCAACCCGTATTTTCCTGATTCTAGCTTCTAGGCTTAGATGCTCCCCACCTCCACCCTCCTCTCAGCCTCGTTTTCTCTGTTACCATTCCTGTTTCTTCCCTGAGAGCCTCACCTGTTTTCAGTTATATGGCTGGAGATCATTCCATGACTGAAATAACTTCTGAATGGCTAAAAAAGAAGTCAACATTGTATATATTAAGATCATAGTTTTATAAAACAATCACAAAACCTCTCATGTATATTTGTATGTAGGTATAAATATATACACACATACACATATATATACACATATATATATAATTTGTTATAATATGTATAAGGGTTCAAACAAATGTTAACATTTAACAAATGTTGAACTGGGGAAAACACATGAGGATATAAAATGGCCTTCAAACAAAATGCAAATTAAAATAATATCAAGATACCATTTCTCATCTATGAAACTGTCAAGAATTGAAAGTACAGCAACACATTCTATCAGTGAGGCTGTGGTGGAAGAGGCGCTTGCAGGTACTGCTGGAGGACACAAGAACCGTACAACCCTTCTGAAGGGAAATCCGGCAAAACTACACATGCATTTACCGCTGGACCCAGCAATCCCATTTGTTAAATATACAAACCCCCAACTATATGAAAATAGGTATGCACAGAGTTATTTACTATGGCACTGTTTGCAACAGCAAAATATCAAAAACAACCTAAATGCATACATAAATTAAGATAAATCCATACAGTGGAATACTATGAATTATAACAGAAAATAAGATCTCAATGAACTGACCTGGGAAGAGTTCCATAATATACTGTTAAAGTAAAAAAGGCAAAGTGGAAATGACTACATATAGTATGCTACCCTTCAATACATAAAAGAAATGGATATAAGAAAATACACATGTGCCCTGGCCAGCATGGCTCAGCTGGTTGGAGCAGTGTCCCATAGACGGAAAGGTCATGGGTTTGATTCCCAGTCAGGGCACATACTCAGGTTGTGGATTCAATGCCTGGCTGAGAAGGCAACCAACTGATGTTTCTCTCTCACACTAATGTTTCTTTTTCCCTCTCTCCCTTCCTCTCTCCAAAAGCCATGAAAAAAAAATGTTGTTGGGTAAGGATAAAAAAAAAGTAACACATGTATCCAATCATTTGTGCAAGTGACAGAAAAGATACACCAGAAACTGCAGACATTTGTTACGGATTGGTAGTAAAGTGAGTGGAAAGAGAGTGAAAAGAGGGGAGGAATGAGAATAAGTAAGAAGCAAGGAGAGACATGTCACTGAGCAGAACTTTTAGAATATCTTTCACTCTTAGAGCCAGTAATAAGAGAAGAAAAAATAATCTAAAAACTGAAAAAGGCATTAGCGACAGGTGTGACAACTTCATATGACCTAATACAGAGATAATTGAGTCTCTAAAGGAAAGGACGGGAAAAAAATTGAATGGCCAGAAACTTTCCAAACTTGATGAAAACTATAAGCCCACAGGTCCAAGAAGTTCAATAAAATCTAAGCACAAGAAACATGGAGATAATTACAGCAAGACACATGATAATCAAATTATTTACAAACCAGTAATAAAAGAGAAAATCTTAAAAGCTACCAGAGGTGGGGGGAAACCACTTCTGTACAAAAAAAAAAAGAGAAAGATAAAGATAAAAGACCCCAGCAGAAACAATGCGATAAAGGCAATGAACATTTTTCAGTCACTGAAAAGAAAAACGGTCAATGTAGAATCTTATACATGGCAAAATATCTTTAAAAAATTAAGGTAAAATAAAAATTATTATTTGAACATAATTCAAACCGCAACAAATATTAAAGGCTACCCTCTGGGGAGAAGGAAACCATACCAAATGGAAACCTGGATCTACATAAAGGAATGAAGAGCATCACGAAGAGTAACTAGATGAGCAAACAGGTTAAGATTTTAAAATTATTTAAATCTTTTAAAAAACATTTTTAAAGATTAAAAAGATAACTATTTAAACAAAAATAGTAGCAATATATTGTGGGGTTTACAACATGACGTAAAAGTAAAATGCATGACAACAAAGATCAACTCCAGTTCCCAACATCAGGAGTAGGGCTTAGTCTGGGCCACACTTGATAAAGCAAAAAAAGAACTGAGGACAGGCAGTGCAAGTCCCAGGTAGGCTCAAGTGCAAGCTCAAGGTCGCTCTTCTGATCATTCCTGTTGACTAGTTTGGGGATGGTCCTGTGGCTTGGTTCTTAATTTAGATACCTCAGTTTACTCACATAGTGGGTCTTAGCCAGAACCTAGTAACTTCACTATTGATTACTGAGAAAGAAAGGCTGGCATTACCTGGAGGTTCAACTAACAAAGATGTACTACTCACCAGTGGAAAATTACTCCTATGCTTAGTAATTGGTGCCTAATGGAATTCGTGGCTGACAGAGGCACCACCACACTAAAAAATGAGTATCCTTGTAGAACAGCATAGAAAAAAACCCAACTTTTATATACAGATTGGCAAGGGTTAAAAACTTCTTTAGAGGATGCAACAAAGCTTAAGGAAATGATAACCAAAACAAAATATGATTGGTAGTGCTGAATTCTGAAAAAAATTTAAATAAAGGTAAAAACACTAAATAAATAAACCAATTTCTTCTTTCCCTTTGACTCCTGCCATACATACCTCACCCGCCTGAGATTCAGAAAGTTCCAGCAGGAAAGGAATTTCTGTGTCAAAATTAGCAAAGAAGCTAGTCCACTGATGTTCAAAAGTCACCAAATCCTAGGAAGAAAGTGAAAAAGATAATGCATTTAGTCATTTAAATGAGGTACTTTAGAAAATCAGAACTGTGAAACTGCGACTCACCTCAAAATACCAGATCACTTAAATATATGTTGTTTTCAATGATGGTAGCAATCTACTAATACATGCTACCGTTGGATGAACCTCAAATACATGTCAAGTGAAAGAAGCCAGACATAAAAGGCCACCTGTATATGGTCCTATTATATGAAGTACCCAGAAAAGACAAATGTATAGAGGCAGAAGGTAGACTGGTGGTTTGCATGGGCTGGGAGCAGAAATGGAGACTGAACACAGTGAACACAGGGGAACTTTCTGGATTGAGGAAAATGTTCTAAAATTCAATTACAGTGCTAGTCGCACAACTCTGTACATTTACTATAAAAAAATCACTGAATTGTACACTTAAATGGATGAACTGTATGGTGTGCAAACTAAAATAAAGCTGTTTTAAAAAGAACACTAATGGCCTCCAGCTGCTTACTTTATTTTTTATCATTAACTTAGTTTTTTTTTCTTTATTATATAAAATAATCGCACTGATTTTTTCATTCAAACAAGTTCACTGAAAGTGTGTGCATACAGATACACACACACACACACTTTAAATATAAAGTTATTGTGGGATGTGAATTGGTGGGGAAATAATACACTATTTCATTTTAGAATTTAACAAATTCAGAAGTAGGTGACTTTACATTGTAATTCTAGGTTCAAGTGAAGTACCTCAATATTCTTTTTTTTAAGTCATTTTTAATTTATGAGTTACAGTTGCCATACAATATTATATTAGTTTTACACACCAGTGATTAGATACTATATAACTTACTTTAAGTGATCAACCTGATAAATCTCATACCCATCTGACACCACACATAGTTATTAGAACATTATTGATTATATTCCCTATGCTGTACTTCACATCCTCATGACTATTCTGTAACTACCAATTTGTACTTTTTAATCCCTTCACCCTTTTCACCCATCTCCCCAACCTCCTTCCCATCTGGCAACTATCAAAATGTTCTCTATGAGTCTATTTCTGTTCTGCTTCTTCATTTATTTTGTTCTTTAGATTCAATTGTTGATAGATATGTACTTACTGTCATTTTTTGTTCATATTTTTAATCTTTTATTCCTTTTTCTTCTTAAAGAAGACTCTTTAACATTTCATATAATACTAGTTTTGTGGTGATGAACTCCTTTAGCTTTTTCTTGTCTAGGAAGCTCTTCATATGTCCTTTGATTCTAAATGGTAGCTTTGCTGAGTAGAACAATTGTGGTTATAGGTCCTTGCTTTTCATCACTTTGAATATTTCTTGCCCTTCTGTTCTGGCCTGTAAAGTTTCTGTTGAGAAATCAGTTGACAGTCTTACAGGAGTGCCCTCAGTAGGTAACTGCTTTTCTTTTGCTACTTTTAAATTCTTTGTCTTTAACCTTCTGCATTTTAATTACGATGTGTCTTGGTATTGACCCTCTGGGTTCATCTTGTTTGGGGATCTCTGCGCTTCCTGGACTTGATGTCTATTTCCTTCACCAGGTTAGGTAAGTTTTTTGTCATTTTCTCAAATAGGTTTTCAATTTCTTGCTCTCTCTTCTCCTTCCAGCACCCCCATGATGCAAATGTTGATATGCTTGATGTTGTCCCAGAGGCTTCTTACACTATCCTCATTTCTTTTGCTGTTCTGATTGGCTGGTTTTTGCTTCCTTATATTCCTTATCACTGGTTTGTTTCCCATTTTCATCTACTCTACTGTTAATTCCATGTAAATTATTCATTTCACTTAGTGCTTCCTTCATTTCTGATTGGTTCTTTTTTTTATGGTTTCTATGTCCTTTTTTATGAGGTTGAAGTTCTCTCTAAGCTCACCTGCACTTCTCCTAAGTTCATTAAACATCCTTATAGCCAGTGTTTTGAACTCTCCATCCAGTAGATTGCTTGTCTCCATTTTGTTTACTTCTTTTTCTGGAGTTTTGTTCTGTTCTTTCATCTGGCACATGTTTCTTTGTTTCATTTTGGGAGCCTCCCCGTGTTTCTGTGTATTAGGTAGAGATGCTGTGTCTCTGGGATTGGTAGAGCGGCCCCATATAGTAGGTGTCCTGTGTGGTCCAGTGGCACTGACTCCCAGTTCACCCAAGCTGGGTGCTCTAGATGCATATCTGCTCACCTCCCCCATGAGGGCTGTGTACACCCTCCTGTTGTAGTTAAGCCTTGATTGCTGTTGGCACATTAGCAGGAGGGATTTACTTCCAGGGCTATCAGCTGCAATGATTGGCTGTGGCCACTGTGGACAATCAGCTGTGCAGGGGAAATCCCACAGGGCAAGACTTACTTCAACAGGGCACTGGTGCCTCCTGAATATGACCCTTGAGTGTGTTACTTGTGGACATGGTTGGGATGGTGCATCAATATGGTCTGAAACTGTCTACCAAGTGTGCTGCCTCTGGGGCTTCCTGGGAAGTGCAGGACAAAGTCAGCTTTCACTTAGGTTCTACCCAGGACCACTCAGCATGAGCTACAAAGTGATCTGCGGATAGATGCTAGCTATGCTGGGCTTGGAAGTGCCCAGGAGAGGACCAAGCTATGAACAAAGGCTGGCTGCTGTTAATGCCAGGCCTGGGGCCATTTAGTGAGAGGCACGGGGCACACTAATGCCAGATGCTGCTTATTTGAGAGTTTTTAGAAAAATCTGAAGCGTGAGTCAAGAAAGGCCATTCATATGGAAAAGCCACTGGAAGCAGATTGGGTGGGTCTGCAAGTTAGTGGAGTGGGGACTCAGGGAATCATCGAGACCTGTGGACTCTGTATTAGCTACATACTAACTGTACTTCTGGCCCTAGAAATAAAGCACAAGGGATCTCTGCTGGGTATACATAGTATACACAACATTCTCAATTGGCTTTACTATTTGCTGCCCAATGATCTACATTTTATTTATATATGTGTGTATGTATATATTTATGTATACACACATATATATTACATATAGATTATATACATTTATCTAAAGCTATTTTCAGTAATCATGGAGGTGACAAAACAGTTCTGATATTGTTTTCTGAATGTTTTACATATAATGTATGATAAAATCATGTATGTATATATACGCATGCATACAGGGAGAGGGAGAGGGAGGAGGAAGGGAAGGAGGAGGGAATGGGGGAGGAAAGGAGGGGAGATGGAAGGGAGAAAGTAGGGAAGGGAGAGGGAAGGGAGAAAGGAAAGGAGGAAGGGAGAGAGTGAGGAGGGGAGAGGAAGAGAGAGGGGGGAAGAGAGAAAGAAAGATAAGTTTCCTAGCTTTGTCCACTGAAGATATCTAAAAACAGTGACCAAACTAGAAGCAATAAGAATTCCTACCATCTAGACCGTGGTGCCGAAACAGCATTTGCCACTCACAGAAATCAAAACTTACTAGAGAAATGACTGATTTCAGGTCTGAAATTGATTAACGTCAAAACTGAATTATCAATCATCAAGAAATACAGAAGACAAGGGAATATGTTAAATTACATCACAGGAAAGCAATCAACAAAATCCCAATCAGGATGGCTACAAGACAAATGATCTGGTTTCTTCAACAAATAGAGCTGTGGGGAGAAACAAAGAGATGGAAGGGAACCCTATAGATTAAAAGAAACCTAAAATACACTCCAAGGCAAGGCTAAACTATGTGTTTATGGAAACACATGTGAAGGATAAAACTGCAAAGAAAATTAAGGAGGTAATTTCCACAGAATTCATGACAGTGTAGACAGACTCCTGGTTAAGACAGCAGCATAGGTAAACACAGCTCACCTCCCTGCACAACCACATCAAAATTACAACTAAATTATAGAACAACCATCACTCAGAACCATCAGAAATTGAGTTGAAAAGAAGTCTGACAACTACAGAATTAAAGAAACCACATCCATCCAGACAGGTAGAAGGGGTGGAGATGCAGAAAGGGCTGGTCCCACAACCACATGTGGTGGCTAAAAATTCAAGAGGGATATGTTGGGAGGGAGGACCCAAGCCACACATCAGACTCCCCAACCCAGGGTTCCAATGTCAGGAAGATAAGTCCCTATAACTTCTGACTGCAAAAACCAGTGGGGATTGAGTTGGTGGAACTTCTGGAGTCCCAAGCAGTTTCTCTTAAAAGAACCTACGTGTGGATTTACTCAGACTCACTCCCTCTGAGCTCTAGCACCCATGTAGCAACGTGAAGGGCACCAGTGACATACAGGTAGGAACTGAAGATTCAGGCTTCAGGGCAAGAGCTGGGGGACAGCTTTCTCCCAGACAGAAAGGGAGACAGAGACCACTGTCCTTTTTCTGAGCCCTCCCCCAACAGGGCCACAGAGCTGGCAGGTGGTGACATATCTGAGACTCCATCAACTTGGCAAACACTGTTTGACCTATCCTGGAAATTCTCCGAGACTCTGTCTTACCCAACATATAGCTGTTAAAAGTGGCTTTTTTTATATGAATGTCTGGTCTTGGCTCATGCTTGACAATTTCCTAAATCCTTTCAAACAAGCAATGACCAACTTCAGTAAGCCCCAAACCCCTTACCTCTTGCTAAGTGGCCCCAGGCACAGCACTACATAGCAACCAGTCTAGATTCATGGTTTGGCTTCATCTGGGAATCTCCAAGCCCAGCACAAGTAGCAGCCATCTCAGATTGCTCTACAGAACAAGGACTGTGGTCTCAGGGAAAACACAGATGGGGTACGACTTTGGCCTGCACAACCTGGGAAACCCCAGAACCTGCACACCCAGTGGACATCTATAGACTAGACTACACTGGAGCACCACCACCCTGACCCTGCAAAGCTGATCTTCCATGGATGGTGGAGGTTAGTGGTCAGCAGTTATAGTCCATCCTTGCAGCTGACTGCCCTGGGTAAATGCCTCCCATTGACCTGTCAACAGCAACCAAGGCTCCACTACAAGAGGAGACTGTGCTCAGCCCACACAAAGGGCACTCCTCAAG